AGCCTTGTGTGGTTAGATCTTATTAACTCTTGCTAATGTGTTCAATGGTAACCGATGCGTCTGTACTTTCCTCACTTGGAATGGGGATAGCCGTGTATTATGCTCCCAGACTGCGTTTGAAGGTCTTAGAGTAATGTAGCTAGCACTGGGCAAACTGTCACCAAGCCTGAGTCACAGTCATTGCTAGCCTCGTCTCAACGGTTCCTCTCTTCTGAGGGTCATGAGACCATCAGTTGATATTCTGTAAGTGCCCACTATGTGCCACAGTCCTGCCTCGAGCGCTAGGACCTGTTCCCTCCAGCCACTGCCTCTCTCCTGGTGGGTAGACTGTGTCTCAAGCCCCCTTGTTGCTCCAAGGCTCGACAGAGCACCACCCAGCCCCCTCTGCTCTCCTAACCTTCTCAAACCTGTGCTCTAAGTGTCCTTGGCTGGCCTTGCATCCATCTGCTCACCCACTGAACTTGTGCCCAGCCTTCCCCAGCACCTGAGATACTGACTTGCTCAATGGCTATGGGAAGAATAAGAGGCAGATGCAGATGGAAATGCAAACACTTCATATTTCCTGGGCCGTCACTACCCCCACCCCCACCCCATCCTCTCACCACCCGCCGATTCTCCGTCTCCACGCCTCTGATTCAGTAATTTGGAGCAGAGGGGCCTGGGAATCACATGGAAGCAATTACTGAGCAATAACTTTTATGTCTTCCACTGGCCTCAGTCTGCTCCCTTACTGTCCTCCAGACAGAACCAGGGCTGCTACCTCTAGAGAGTGCAGCAGCCCAGCAGCGCCATCTTGTGGACAATGAACTCCACTGAGTCTGAGCCAAATGAAGTCAGCCAGACTTATAAATATCCTATCTCTGGATTTAAGTAGTAGAAAATGTCTTTCCTTCCAGATTTATATTTTTGATTGGAAATAATACTCTATACTTTGAAACGAAACTTTTCAACGACCAACGGTGTATTTTCACGTTCATTTATGAATAATACAGGGCCCTATGGATTCATCAGAGACTTCAGCTTTAAAAGTAAAACAAAAGTAGTGCAAAGTCTCGCTGCTAAAACATGGTCACTGCAGTTTGTTACAAGCAGAATCTTGGAGATGGGGAGATGACTCAGTGGTTAAGAATTCCTGCTGCTCTTGCAGGAGATCTGGACCTTGGTGGGTCACAACCATTTGTGATTCCAATGAGTGCTAGACATATACATAGTGCACACACATGCATGCAGGCAAACACTCATACACATCAAATAAGTCAATCTAAAACAACGCCCCAGAATCCCAGTGCCTCTCCAAATGGCTAAAGCTTACCTTGGGGTTAGCCACAGCCCTGGTGACTCCCGCGTGCACGAGAGCTTGAACAGCATGAGTGACAGGAGTGGATGGCGATCCTGTGTTCTTGCTCACTCATGGCCTGGGTGGTCCATGTGTTCTGAGCGATGTTGAGAACTTGGCCCCTGTCTCCTCTCTCCTCCATAGCCAGGGAGGACTGAATTTACAGGGTGCTTCATGGTGAAACCCCTGTGCATATGTGAACAAGCCTGAGGGAAACTGGCCATTCGCATGAGATGTCAGAGAATCTGGTTGTATCACCCACAAAAATCTCACCATGTGTCACGCTTCAGTCATCCACAGATTGTTCACCCGATCTTTTAAAGGGCTGCTCAGGCCCCGTTTCCCCGGGGTTCAGAAGAGTAAAATTACATTTAAAATGTTTCTATTGGAGAATGTTAGGTTTGTTTTACTACTTACCAGCAGCTCAATAATCAGCATTGTTTATATGATGAAATTTGAGCTATTTACTAAAATTTTAAAATTAGTTTACTTTGTATAAGTCATGTGTCAGGATGCTGTTTATTAATTCGGTTTGTGCTGACAGCTCCAGGCACGGATGTAATGCATGTGGACTGCTCTGACTCCCACGCTCTCATCCCCCTCCATTCCTATTCGCCTCTCATTCTCTACCAGTCTCTTTCCTGGGCTCCTGTTCTTTTGTTTGTGTACTTCCGGGCTTGACGAGGGCCTTCTGTGTGGCCTTGACTTTGGAACTATCCACTGGGGTCTGGTAGGCTCACCAGTGGGTATGTAACTAAAGAAAATAGTTCCCCTTCATCCCCCAGCGCATACTTAGCCTGTAGTTCAGCATATAGCATAGGGTCCTGTGAGCCACCCACGGTCCCTGCCCATCCATGACGGACTGTTGAAGCAGCCTGTCTTGCACAGGACCAGCGCAGATAGTTGCAGCTGCTGTAAGTTGGAGATTATACTGGCTGGTTTGTATCTAGAGGATGGGACATCGTCACTGCCCTTCTCCCCGTTTTCCAGCTCCTACATTCTTCCTACCCCCTCTTCTGCAGTGTGCCAGGAGTCGTATAAATGCCTTGTTTAGGACTGCACCCTCATCATCACGTCTTCTTGGCATCTTATGCTACCTGAGTCTAGGAGACAGTTCACATTTTGCCGTTCGGGGGTCTCAGAACAATCCCTGTTGAGCCCAGAATGGAGCCCCAGCAGCTGCTCAGGATGCTAGCTAATCACTAATTAGCTTGCAGCAAGGCCTGAACAGAAGGTTGGTGTCCTTCACACTAATCGTGCTGTTTATGGTAATCAGATTATTTGCATCATTAGAGTCTCAACATAGCTACATGAAGACTCACTAATATATATCAAATATTCATTAAGGATATAGACTCCTGATGGTCGTGAGCTCCTTTGGTAGCTCAGAGAGACTGATGTAGACAAGGTTGTTAACTGTTTAAACTACAAATACCTCTACCTTGAGATGGGGGTTGGGTGGAATGAAGAAAAACCAGCAGCAAGATATAATCGTGGTTTAAAGGGAAAATGCTTAATGAGAAGCTGCTGGACAGTGAGTAGGTGACATTAATGGAAACATTGGTGTTAGGGTTACCATTGCTGTGATGAACCAGTGTAGCCAAAGCAAGTGGGGTTTATTCCAAAAGCAAGTAGAGGTTTGTTTTCATTTATGCTTCCATGTCACTGGTCATCAGCGAAGGGAGTCAGGGCAGGACTCAGGCAGGGCTGGAGCCTGGAGGCGGGAGCTGGGCAGAGGCCATTGAGGGTGCTGCTCACTGGCTTGTTCCATGGCTTGCCCTGCCTCTTTTCTCAGAAGCGCCTGGGACGACCACCACCCAGGGATGGCACCACCCTTAGTTTACCGGCCTCTTCCTCATTGGTCACTAATTGAAAATGCCCTACAGCCTGACTTTATGGAGGCAGTGTCTCAGTTGAGGTTCTCTCCTCTCAGATGACTCTAGCCTGTGTCACATTGACAAAAGCTAGGCGGGGCAGATGTGAACATCTGTACAGCCCTCAGGCCCGAGTGGTTCTTGTTTCCCATGAGACAACACTTAAACAGTGAAATGAAGTCCTGAGAATAGCTTACTGTTCCTTTTGCCATGGACCTGAGGTGCACAGACTCTCATTTCAAATTAGGTTAGATGTTTAAACTGTCTACAATTCATAAAATTATGGACATTTTTGCTCCTAATTTACTATATATAGTAAAAAATTTTACTGTTTATTTTTATCTGATTAATTGCCATTAGTGATGTTGGCCTCTAACCATTAAAAATGATTCGGAAGGTTAATTCCTAAAAACCATTTTCTTTGTTGTTAAACTGCAATCTTAATAATGGATAATACAGCTAATAAATAATAACACAAGTATCATATCAGGATGTGCTGTAATAATTGTAACAGATCCGTGTGGTAACAACCACGCCTGTCTGCACACACAGACTGGTAGTCTATGAGAGTGAGGCCCTCCTGTGTACACCTGGCAGCCCTAGGTGGTTTTTGAACACCGGCATTCCCAGCACACTGCCAGAAGATGGTGATCAAAATTCACTCCATAAACGAGTGCAGCAGCCACAGTCTTGCATCTTTATTCCGTTTGTCTCCTGATAGTCTATCTTAAACATTTCCAAATCAATGGAAAATTACTAGCATAAAAAAAAAACCAAACCAGTGTCTCGCTGCACACCGGGAGTCATGTTGGTCAGTGTATTTGCATCTGTTCTCACGCCCCCTGCAGCCCAGGAACAAGTTGATTCTTCTTTACTCTCATTGCTCATTTCTATGCTCCAGTCTTCCTAACTCTGCTGATAATCTGTCCCATCACTGTCACTCTTGTCTCTGGCATGGCCACATCTGTTTCTAGGTGTCATTTATTCTTTTTTCCTTAGCATATCTATGTAGATTCAAGCATAAGTACACTGATATTAATATTCTTAGCACATCTTCATTCAAGTTAACATCCAAATAACACATTTTATTCTTACAACACATATTTTTTAAGTTACTGCTATGCCCCTGTTTCTGATATTACTCATGGTTCAGCAGGAAGCCAGGCAACTGCATTGCTCTTTAAAATGTGCCACACTAAATTATGGTAATAGTGAGTTATGTGTCCCATGGAGCACAAGAGAAAAGCTTTCAACCCCACTGTGTCAATTAAGGACTCCAAAGAGAGTGTTACTAACTCCTAGACCCAAGAGATAAATAAGAGTCCACCTGGGAAAAGAGCACAATGCCAAGGAAACACATGTCCCCTCTAGGGAACTGAACAAGTGTGTTTAGTCCGGCAGTCTGACCAAGCATGTGTGTGTGTGTGTGTGTGTGTGTGTGTGTGTGTGTGTGTGTGTGTGTGAAGTAGGATGCCATGGGGGAGAGAGGGTTACAGAGAAGAGGCTGGGTGGGCTTGCTGGAGCTTTTAATGACTGCTAGAGAACAGGCCTAACTAGTGTCCCACGAGCAATAGTATTCAACCTTGGTTACAATGCTCTCATCTCCATGTCTGCCAGAGATATAACAGCACAGCCCCAGCCCATCATCCAGGAGCATGCAGTGGGCATCTATGGGACCGCACACTTCAGTTTCATACCCAGCTTCCAGGGAAACCATCCTGATTAAAAATGTCAAGGGAGAGAGCTAACCCTTGAAATAAAGATCTTAATAGATTCATTTTATGTTATAG